CCTCCCGGGGTGGGCATTATTTAGGGGTGGGATTATGTGTGCCTTGTGAGATGTATAAGTAAAAATTTCACTTGAAATTTTGTTATCTTCATATGATACATTTAGATAAAAAAATAAACACATATGTGAATATATATGTATAAGTATACACTTACATATACACACACACATACACACGCATACATACATACACACACACATACACACGCATACATACATACACACGCATACATACATACACATGCATACATACATACACGCATACATACATACACACACGCACGCGCACACACACACACACACACACACACACACACACACACACACACACACACACACACACACACACACACACACACACACACACACACACATATATATGTATGTATATATGTATGTACACACATACAAAATCAAGAAAAAAAACAAAAGGAGAGCGAGAGAGAGAGAGAGACATTGAGTCTAATAAAACAAGAGAAAGAGAGAGAGATATATATATATAAACTCTTCTTGCCTAGAACACAAATCTCTGCAACTCCTGGTATGACCCATAATCATCACCATCGGAGAGCTAATGCCAATGAGAGCACATGGCCACTACCAGCCTTCGTTCCCGCCTACAAAGGTCTCCAAGCTACAACTTCCCAGATTGTCCCATGGGCCTCCTCCACCTGGAAAGACAACCTGGTGGACAGGATCATCCTGTGGAAAGCGAGCCAGGGTACGCGTATAGCCTGAGTTGGCAGTCCTGGATTGTGCAAGTAATGGGTCTGGTACCAGTCTCATGGTGTAACTGTACTCAAGACCAAATTCCAAGGCACAAGATCGAGAAAATCTGGCAGTAACAGGGTTTCAAAGACACGTAACTTAGTCCTACACAGGTATTGGGATCTCCAAATACTCTTGTCAAGAGAGTTCATGACCCCTGCTGTCAGGCCAATCTATCTACTGACTTTCTGGTCTGACAGGCCAGAATCTCAAGATACAGTTACTACCAAGGTATGTAAAGCACACTGTGACTATAATATCCTCAGCACGTGCCAACTGAACAGGATCTCCTAGCAAGCCCCAAAAAGTGTTGATGCAGGGACAGAGCCTTGCCTCACTCCTGAACTAATGGGGAAGAAGCTCAACAGGGCCCCACCATACTTTACAGCACTTGCAGTACTAGTACATAGGCTTGCTATTAATACAGTAATCCTTGTTGGGATGCCCTTCAGTCTCAGGATCTCCCAAAGTGATTGACGATGCACCCTATCGAATGCGAACGGCTTCTTGAGGTCGATGTAAGCTGCAAGCAGACTACGTGAATCCAGATTGCTTCAGCCTCTGGTGCCTCAGTAGGTGGTCTCTGATACATCTTAGTGAGCAAGAGCCTTGGTGGTTGCTGCAGTTCCATCGATCCCCTTTCCCTATCAATTCCTGAGCTGCATCAAACGTTTCACACTTAAAGGGTCCTACAGCCATAAGAACCAACAGATATCTCATAGCTAGCTTGATCACAGCCTCTTTCATGTCAAGTTTACAAACATTACAGACATGAAGCCAAGCACGAGCTTCAGTCTTAATGCCATTATATGCTCATTGATTGAAGTGACTTTCACTACCAAGTCTGCTGGAGATGACTATGGCTACTCTCCCTGG